AATCATGTTACTGACCTGTTGCCAATCAACCGTCAGGTATTTTTTAGCATTACACAACTTTACCAGCCTTTTGTTGCCCCCGTCCCGACTTTTTTGGAACGTGTTTATGTAATGAAATTCAAATTGGGCAAATATTAAAATGTTTCTCAGTTTCAACATTTCATAGATTGTCTTTGTACTATTTATTCACACTATTACTGTACTATTCAATCATTTATTCACAGACGTTAACACTGAATGGGGTCAAACTGACCCCAAATACAATAGGATGGTTAATCAAAGTTCTGGCTATAAACCATTCTCTAATACTATGACCCTTTTTTCAGACATCAATAAGAGCCTTATATCTGTAATTTTTAGTTCAGTTTTTAATTCATTAGTTATGCTTGTATTTAAACCCTGCACATATTATACTACCACTCCTGTTTTATTATTTAGTTTTGGATAGAAACAAAATGTTTAATTGACCCAACAAAAAATTGGAAAATGGAATATTGTTTTTTCTCAAATATCTATGTAGACATAGCTAAGCAAGCTCTTCTATTGTTTGGGACTTCAGGAGCTGAAGAGAAGGTCTGATGCATCTGATGCAGATTACTATATAGGTGCACTTTGTAGTTCTACAATTACAGACTATAGTCTATCTGTTTGCATACTTTGTTAGCCCCCTTTTACCCTGTTCTTCAATGGTCAGGACCCCCATGGACCCAGCACTGCAGTAACACTGATGTGGATCAGACACAACCATGTCAGTGCTGCGAATAATCTGTGAGGTTCCATATGTGTGTATATATAGAGACTAATAGAGCTAGGCCTTACATATATATAAGGCTTAGCTCTATTAGTCCCTGCTCTGCTTTTCAGAGACCACTGCTTGCCCCCAGCTCTTTTCTGTGGTCATGTACATCTGCAGTGGCTTCATCAGCCTTAAGGTCAGGTGATAACATTAATGAAACTGATGATTGACTGACGATTTCTATAAATATGCTTGTTGCCATAAGCGCCATATGTGACACTGGTAGTGACAGAGAGTCACAGCTTCACACTCTGTTACACTGCAAGACATACAGAGAAAAAAAGCAGCTGTGTGTGTTTTTGCAGTGATGAAAAGTGACTAATATTTCAAGGCCGCCGATTCAGGCCACGAATGTCAAAATTCCTCATTTGGATTAGACACAGCAGTGCTGCTGGAGCTTCTAAACACTGTGTCCACTCACTCTCCACTTTATTAGACACTCCTACCTTGTCAGTCCACCTTGTAGATGTAAAGTCAGAGACGATAGCTCATCTGCTGCTGCACAGTTTGTGTTGGTCATCCTCTGGTCCTTTATCAGTCGTCTCAGGACGCTGCCCACAGGACGCTGCTGGCTGGATATTTTTGGTTCTCAGTCCAGCAGTGACACTGAGGTATTTAAAAACTCCAGCAGCACTGCTGTGTCTGATCCACTCGCTCCAGCGCAACACACACTAACACACCACCACCACGTCAGTGTCACTGCAGTGCTGAGAATGACCCACCACCCAAATAATACCTGCTCTGTGAGGGTCCATGGGGGTCCTGACCAATGAAGGACCTGGTAACAAAGTATGCAGAGAAACAGATGGACTACAGTCTGTAACTGTAGAACTACAAAGTGAAACTATATGGTCAGTGGAGCTGATAAAATGGACAATGAGTGTAGCAACAAGGAGGTGGACTTGCAAACTGACAAGGTGGAACAATCTTATAATATACTGCAAACTCCTAATGACAAATATTAGATATATTAACTACATTTACAATAATTTCACTTGCTAAAACAAATATTTTGCAATGCACTCTCTTTTTCTGCACTTTCTCCACCTGACAAACACACAGACAGGATATATTGCTGTTTTCACGCCGCTTTACCAAACGTTGTTCATTTATCCATTTACTCTGACGTGCATGCATGAAGAGTTTCTGCAGGTGGCCTTTCCATGTGAAAATGAGAAGTTGGAGCGCAGCAGTGGCTTGAGATTCATTTGAACTGACATGATGTAGAATAGTCACAGTTTTTAGTAAGACTGCTACTCAGTGGTCTCACGCTGTGTGAGTCTGGCTGAATAAGTACACTCAACTGAAGAGACAAGACGGGGTGGTTTAATAGGCCTGTATCATGGAAAACTGAATTTTCCGCATTTTTCTAAAATACAAGAATTTGCAGTAGAATTTAAACATTGGTAAAGGCCCAAAGTGTTTCACGCCTCTGTCTTTACAGTCCATACATAGAAACAAAGCTGCAAAAACAGCCTGTTTTGAGTTAATTACTTTTACAATGCTACAATAAAAACAATACATTTACATTTATCCACCTAGTCAGCCTACAACAGGTTAGCCCCACCCACTCACACTGAAGTTATAAGGAGTGTTTCAGCCTAGGCTACTTTTTGTATGATGCACAGTACAGGGCCAATCAGAAAACATGTCATTTGCATATTGATTTTTTGGACTTATTCCTTAAAAAGGCACTCTTAGACACAGTTTTAAGATCTCAAAAGTTATGATATTTTAATGTGCATCATGTTTGAAAAGAGAAACCTGAGAAAATTGCATTGAAAGGTTTCACTGTATTGAATTCATTTAAGCCCAGTTTGAGAGATTTAAACCAGTTATTACATTTATGAACCTTTAGCAGGACCAGGTGGATCATTTTAGGGGCCTTAGGTAAGTGCCCAGCCACTCCCCCACACCTACGCCGTGTAAACAGTTATACACAGAGAATAATTTTTCCTCTGAGGCTTCAAGCTCTTGTTTTGAGTTATCAATGTCATTCATTTATTTGCTGTGTCGTATTTCATCTGTTTCTTTGTATACTGTCATGGTATGTTTGTTTATTTTTAGCCTAACCTTGTTTGTGTTTAATATGGGAAAGATTTGCTGAACTATTGTGTGAATAATGACCAGGCCTAATGTAACTCAAACATTTCTACCTTGTTTATATAACATTAGCAAACCAGTTAGCTTGCTGTCCACACCTTGAAATAAAACCAAAACATTCCTTTATCTTTTAGCTTTTTCTCCTTATTTTCTCTGTTTCACATAATTAACCAGTCAGTATTTCTCCTCATTCCAGTGTCTGTTAGACAACATAATGGTCACTTACAGTAATTATCTACATTTAGTTACATCAACATGTATGAAGATTACAATTCATTTAAAAAAATGTCCAAACTGTGGACGCAGGACAGAGAGGAGTTCGGGCCAATTATTTCAAGATCATCCATCACTGTATGACTGACAGACTAAAATGATCGACAATTTAAAGGCATCATCCATAACTAAGCACATTGATGAGAGGGATTGAAAGGATGGACACCAAAATAACTGAAGCTGAAACTATTTTCTTCAAGCATGGTTTCTAAGTGGACACTACTTTTTAGTTATCTCTAAAATCACTGGCCTCAATGGTCTAAAACTTCATTGTCTTATTTCACTACATAAGTGTGAACTGGACTTAAAGAATATGACTAATATGAATTGCGTGCTACCACTTTAAGCTGTAGAGATGTTTTAGTGGTGTTATATTTCTAAACTTCTCATTATGATCTTGATTTTATCCCATTAGGCCTGTTTTCTGAATGCCTATTTACCACTGTGAAGGCTTTGGGGACAAGAGCTCAGTGATGTTTTGGGATGCTTTGTGAACACTTTGGTTATATATGATGTGTGCTAGAGTTTTACTGCAGTGAATTCTGTTTACCACAGATGGAGTTTAAGCTGCACATTTGCAACACTTTGCTGCCACCTGCTGGACAGTTGTGTTCATAACTAGAACATTTTGTAAAAATCTAGCCATCAGCCACCCAAGATCGGGAGTCCAAGAGAGCATTACTGTCTTCCCTCTGCCCCGTCACTCAGCGTGATGCTAGCCAACATGGGCATTTGGTAGCTGATGTAACAGAATCAGTAGTTAGTGTTCTCCTCCAAGCGTGTTCAAGCTATCCATCAATGTTGTGTTTGCAAGGGTTTGAAAGATGTGGCAGTGCTTCATGTACCTACATTATTCTTATGTTTTATTTTCCCCCTGATATCCACTTAATAATAGAATTGTTTCTAAGTATAGCATGTATATATTTTTGTTACTTTGCCTCATATAGAAATGATATATGCAAATGAGCTCTGTGCTGATTGTACTGACTGATGAGAAAAGTTACAGTAATCAGATGAGAAAATGCTGGCAGAAACAATTTTATCTGTCTCATCCATAACTAAGCACAGCCAAACGGATGGACACAAACTAACAGAGTAACTAAAGTAGAAACCATTCCTTACTATAAAATAGAGACGTAATGCTCGATACCAGAGTATCGCCTCAGTGTCGACACTTCGTGCTGTGAATTGTATCGAGACAATGATTCAGGGCCTCGGTTCAAATGCTGGAGACACATGATAGCCGCCAACGAAGCTTTGGTACGTCACTGAAAGAGATTCAAATTCCCCAGGCTTCTTCCATGGGTTAAGCTGGTGAACTCCAAAATGGTTTCTGTTGTTTTCAGTAGTCATATTTCTAATATTTTATACCTTATTCCTGCACTGTTTGTACACTGATCTATAAATATAAAAAGACATCTATACTTGGCCTATTTTTGTGTCTGAACCCATCCATGCCCACTTACCCAGAGGAAGTTTCAAAAGTGTGTGAAAAAAGTCCAAATTTGAGGGTTTCCTCGAGAAAGACAAAAAAAAAAGAAACACCACAGAGATTGTTCTGTTAATTAAACAGATCTATCATGGAGGCTCAAGAAAGAGACCCAGGGTCTCAAGTATGGGATCACTTTCATTTAGCCAGCCAAAATAAAGTGACACGTATGATATATGTGACCAAATGCTATCATACTCAAATAACACCTCTTCAGTGCCTGATGACTTTTCATTACCTGGGAAGTTTAAGATGTATGATGAGAAGCCATTATGGGCAAATAAAGCTATTTTAATATGATTTTCTGTGTCCATAGTTAATATAAGATGGAAAATCATATGTCAGTGGTATATTTATTGAATGTCCAAATGATCAAATTAACATATACGTGCTGTAATCAAGTTTTTTTTTGTGTGAATGAGCTTCAATGGAAATATGACAATTAATAGGAAACAGTCATTGTAGGAAATTGAACTGGACAGTAGATGGCAGCACGGAGCCAGGTGTCAAATGCTTCAAAACACTGAACCATTTCCCAACGCGTCACCAGAGGTCAGCCTCACCTGAGTACTGACTTGCTTCCTAGTGACACCTTGACCTCTTTCACCTGCAGCTCATTAACCTCCCTTTATAAGGACCTTCACTCACACTGGATCTCTGTGAAGTATTGCCAGGTCATCTGCGTACCAAGCCTTGTTTGTTCACATCTGTTGGATTTTTTTTATGGATTGCCTGGACTCTGATTCTGGTTTTTGTGACTTTTGATACTGTGTTTTGAGTAAATGGATTCAAACCCATCTGGAGAGTCTTCATTACAATCCTGAACTGACTAGATAAATTATGAAACACAAAGTCTGGACTCACGCAAAGCAAACACAAGCAGCGAAACAAGAACACAAAGATCACAAACCTAAACCAGGAACATGCAACATCAAATAACAAACAATGCTGACCAGGGAACAAAGCAAACAAAGGGGTATATATACTAACATGGAAGGCAAGGAACACCCGAGACTCATGAAAAGATGGGGCTAGGAAATGAGGAACAGGTGAAGGCTGAAGTCAGGGGAGGACAGGGGAGGACCTAACACCACAACAAAAGCACATGGCACTAGAAAACAAAGGCACAAATAAATTGAATGAAATTAAGTGTTTAGTGTCACTTGGCATCCGTTTACTACCTCCGCACAAACTAGCTGTTTTTGAGCTGAAAAAGGCTAGGCTAGTAATTTTAGCTGAGGCAACTTAGCATTAGCATCTGTCTGTTTAACTAAAAGATTAACTGCCTTCTTCTGTGTAAAATTCAGGTCACATGCGATCTACTGTGGCTTTCTGTGGTCTTGATATGGCTTTAATTTAATGTGGTAATGGCAAAAGTCATTAATCAGACTGTTTAAACGGGAAAGAGCAAAAAGCCACTGAAAATGCAGTGGTTGTTGCTGTCATCATAAACCTGACGGTCACTTGCGAGCTTTATGTACACAAGATCTCCTTTCTCCAGCAGCAGAGACACAGCATTGGAGACGTACTCATATGATCCTTCTGGCCGTTCAGACACAAATAAGATAAACTCCTCATTTTTAAACAAAATTGCGCTCATCATGTTTGAGTTGTTGAGATTAAATAGACTGAACCTGAAGTAATAGACTCCTCTGAGTGGAGCAGTGAAAACACCTGCAGAAGGAGAAACAGATGGATCAGTACAGAGTCTCTACATCACCAGAGAGAAGATCCAAACCAGACATCAGACACTGTCTCTGTACTGACTGTGCATTTACCTGTGATTGGACTGTATGCGTTTCCAATGTTTGTGATTTCTTTGCGGAAAACCAGTATGGTGACCACATTAAATGGCCCAAGGTAGCCATTTAAGCCTGAAGCAAATGAGAACGCCACCTTTGGTCTGTCTGCAAGCAGCAACATGGAAAAATACCAAAATCAGGGATGGATTACTCAGCCTAGCACCTGATGTTTGAATGTTGTTCATAAACTATAAATCCAATCAAAATGTTAATAACTCAAAGAATTAAGTACGAAAATGTAAAAATAAAGAAAAATAAAATCTCACCATACCCACAAATCTATCCTTGTATGAGTAAAATAATAGAGTAATAGAAAACATTTAAGTCTTACTTGCATTCTCCTCTCTCAGTCCTTCCACGCCCAGTTCAGTAGAGACCACTCTCCCCTCCAAAGCTGTGAGACACACAGAACAATACAAACTATCTGACCAGCTGAGAAAGATCAGATTATGGAGCAATCAGGAATCAGAGCCGTGGCTGCCTTAAGATTTCTACCAATGCAAGTAAGGATTGAAATAACATTTCATTGTTTGCAGCCTTTTAACACTGACATTTGCTATTATAACTATGGCAGTAATTCTCACTCAGCTTGGCCTTTAAAGCTACACTGTGTTGGTTTTGTGGATTTGGAGACCTCTCTGGTGGAAGTGTGTAACTGCGCTTTCACACCACTATACATTATTAAACTATTTACATAGCACATAATGTAAATAGTACATTGCACATCAGCATTTTTGGCTTCGTTCACATTACAAGCCTCGTTGCTCAAATCCGATTTTTTGCTCAAATCCAATCTCTCTGACAGGATGGTTCACACTCGTTTAGGTAAGTGATTCACATGAATTCTGATCTCAGCGTCACATTAAGGTCACATGGCCACGAATCGGATATGTATCCGATCTAGGACCACATATGAAAGTAGCTCAGGTTGGATTTGAAAAGATCAGATTTGCGTCCACACAGCCCTGAGAACATCAGATCTGAGTCACATTAGGGTAAAAAAATCTGATTTTGTGCTACTTTAGCCTGGTAATGTGAACGTAGCTCTAAAAATCTGAAATTCATTATTATATTTTAGGACTCCTAGCTCTAAATAATGCATACTGAAATGTATAATCCCAAAGTTTTGATTCCAAAGCTGAAACACAGAAATGATAGACATCTAAAATTTTGCCAAAATATTTTGGAAGACTGACCGAAAGATGAAAAATTTCATGGTCTGATGTTGAAAGTATGCTTTCCTTAAGTAAACCAGATGGGAGAATGTATTAAGATTTAAAAAAAAATATTAGCTTGCTGATTTAAAGTGAAAATTTAATTTAAATATTCTGTTTTGTTTTGTTTGTTTGTTTGTTTTTTTGTTGTAGTGATTCTGTAAGCAGTTAAATTCAATATTTATGAAATGATTTAGAAATTAATAATACTTAAAATTCTTTAAAAACCACACATTTGGAGCGTGCTTTTATTTTTGATTTTTTCTTCCTGTACCTGAAGTCACTCTCTTCAGGTCCTCCACATGGTTCTCGCTAGCCAGCAGTCTGCTGTTCATGGCTTAAACACAAAGACAAAAACAGTATTAAAGAAAAACTTCAATAACATAATTAGATGAATCATTATTTATTTTCTAAAAAAGCTTTTAAAATTTCAGCTGCTTAAAAAATACAACTCAATCCTGAAGACTGAAAACTTAATGAGGCAATATGTAAATGTTCACAACTGAAAGCTACAGGGAGCAAAGTTTAATAGCATATTTGTTTCCATTTCTTCTGATTTTATTATTTTTACCTGAATTTTCTACCTTCACCTCCTCCACTTGGTTCTCACAGGCCAGCAGTCTCTTGTTTGTGTCTTGAACACAACAATAACAAATAAAAACAACAACAAAGACATCGCTAAAGTGCAAATTTTAAATCTTACAATCTTAAAATCTATGTGTTGCTTATATTCTTAGTGAAAATCCTCTGCATTGAAGAAATTTAAATATGACCTTTTTTTCTGCCAAACAAAATAGGTGCCATAACTTATGTACAGGTTATGTACAAGTTAATATGTTACATTCAGCAAGTAAACCCTAACTGTGCATTAAAATGTGTGGAATTGTATTGTATTGTATTAGAGGACGCATTACATTATTTTCACAAAAAATTGTCAAGGGGTGCCAAAACATTTGCATATGACTGTATTATTATATCTGAATCATCAGGAAACATAGATTCTGCAAAAAAGGGAAATTTTCAGTTTAGCAAACTCAACAATTAGTGATTCTATTCGATTTTTTAATACTTTTAATTCAGTTTGTCCTCTACCTTCATTGTCCTGCTTTAGTTTCTCCACTTGGCTCTCGCTGACCATCAGCCTGTTGTTTAGGCCTTAAACATGATAACAAAGGAAACAAAAGTGGAACAACCTTTAACCTTATGAATCTATGAATTAGTACAGAACAACTTAAATAATGTGGACCCATGTCAAACAATATGAACATATCATTATTATCCACTGGTTAAAACACTTTAATGAATCTAGAACCTGGATGGTAATAATTACTGAATTACTGTCATTGAGAAAGTATTCTGCTTATTGGAATTCAAATCCGTTAATTTACCTGTGGTTTCTTTCTTCAGCTCCTCAATCTGGCGTTGACTGAGCTGTAGCTGCACCCTCTGCTCCACCACCATGTCCCTCAGATCCCTCAGCTCGGTCCACACATCGGGCTGGACGCTGGTTTGGTTTGCATTCAGCCCTGATCTTTCCACATCCTCCACCGCAAGCTGGTCATCACCTCTCTGGAGATGAACACAAGACAAGCAGAACCAAAGCAGAACCACACTGACCCTCATCCTGAGATAATTACAGCTTATATTGGGTTCCTTTTATAGAGAGACTTCACACAGTGAGCTTCTGTAAGTCAACAGGGTCAATGATTGATCAGTACTGTAACAGGTGCAGATATGCTGGCCCTGTCTTTGGAGATAAACACATGGGAAAATGATCACCTGATACATAGTGCAGTACACTGTGGGCTTGTGTGTTGACAACCTACTTTGCTTTGCAGCTAGTCTGGCCAAAAATCAAATGGATGTAATCAAAATAACTCCTTACTCCATGGTTGTGATGAATCATGTGTCATTCAGACCCACTGGTGTGCATTAAACCCATTATCACACCTTCTGCATCTTTATGAAACCAAAAAAAAAAAACAAAAACAAAGGTGTTGTTGATGTTTTTCTTGTAATGTTAAATGGTTTGGTAAATTGCTACCTGCAATGCTAGATTTAAAAACTAGATGTCAGTATTGTAACATTGATGTGCAGGCCTCAAGGATGCACCAAAATAAAGATTAGGGACATGATTAAACATATTATTGGTGTATGAACTCATCCAACTGACAAATTAAACCAAGTATTATGCAAATGCAGAGCACAGTTTGTGGAAGACAAAGTCCTGAAAGCTGAGTAAAAAAACATCTGGCAGGTCGATGTTTCCTCTTCCCCCAACACATCTGATCTAACTAATCAGGCTTGTTATTGAGCTGATATGATTCGAACTGGGAGTGTTGGGAGCAGGAAAAACACTACAATGTGGGGGAGCTCCTAGACCAGGTTTGGGAACCTGTAAGTTTGAGGAAGATGCACGATGCATTGGTAGTTAACAAGTTAGTTGTGAGACTGAAACTGCTTGGACCAGCTGCTTCAGAGACGCAACACAGCAGCTATGAGGCTGCTTGGACGAGCTGCTTGAGTGACGCAACCCCGCAGCTATGAGGCTGCCTGGACCAGCTGCTTCAGTGGCGCAACACGTTCCCCCTGGATTGAGGTCGTCTAAGGTGTTTCCCACCCACCATCTAGGGAACTGTGTGTGTGTTTACGGTTGATTAGACATTATGTGTTACTGCTGTAGTTTATGACTACAGTTTATTACTGCAGATTAGATACAAGAACAAAGTATCAGAGTCAAATATGTTTCAATTGTTTTAATTAGTGAGATTTGTAAATGTAGATCATTTGTAAACAACAGCTGCTCCTTGCACTGTGTGAAAGCCTCATGATGAACATTGGACATTGTCCAAAATGACTTGTAATCTTTTTTTACATTAAATTCCATTGAAAATTCACCTGAAAAAGTACTATATTGGAGATCTGAGGTTTTGTCTGACAGCGATGACGTGTGTGTTTATATTAATTAAGATGCATTGTGATTCCACTGATATTTGCTTGTGAGCACATTTTTATAATAATATGTTTTTTCTCTGTCCTGAAAGTTCTAAGTTTATTCTATTGCATATTTTGGTAACACTTTATTTGAAGTGATCCTTTGTAGATGATTCATAAACTCTTAACTGAGTATCAGTAACACATCAACAACACACCAGTGAAGTAGCAGCAGTGAAGCATCTGAATACACTGAAGTAAATATCTTGTAGATGTTCTGTTGATACATTACTTACATTAAATAGATGTATTGTTAATATGTTACTTCCATCAAACCTAACCTTACCAACTTTACCCTTAACCTTACCCTTTAACCTTAACCTAAACCCAAAACCTAATCCTCACCCTGGCTCTAATCCTAACCTTAGCCTCAACCCAAAACCTAACCCTCACCCTGGCCCTAATCCTAACCCAAACCTTAACCTAAACCCAAAACCTAATCCTAACCCTGGCCCTAATCCTAACCCTAACCTTAACCTCTAACCTGTGATTGCTCCAGCAGAGAATCAAACCCCATTCTGCCCTATAGAGGGCAGTGGTATTACTTGCTACACTAATGAATGAATAATGGAAGGAAGGAAGGAAGGAAGGAAGGACAAAAAAGGGCAGAATGTCCTTATATTTTCTGTGCACCTTCCTGTGAGATCAACACTCACACTTTAATGACGTCACCTGAATGAAGCCATTTTGATCACATGATCTCTGAAAGTTTTCTTAGTGCCACTCGCTTTCAATGACAAACATCAGCGTAGGAAATAAACACAACACACTTCTGCGGTTCAAAATATATTTGTCACATTCATTTTTAGATGAATAAAAAGGGCAAAGAATGTAATAAAGCAAAGAGAGTACTGGCACAAAATATATCAAATATAGAAGAAAGAATCACACTGTTTAATGTCTCTTGCATTTTAAAAATGCAGGTCACATTTTAACCCTTAAACACCTAAAATTTTGGGGATTTTATGTTGGTATTTTTTGGCTCAATTACAGTTACAATTGCAATTATAAAGTATTTACATGAAACAGTCAGACATGCCATATGTTGTCATTTTCAAGAGACTCTGGGCTACTCAGATATGCCATTGTTTGACATGTAAACTAACAGAAATTTGATATCTTTATAAATTTGGATCATTTCTGATCAAAAATTTACCTAGCGCCTGCTAATTTTTTTTTCTTTTTTTATTATAGAGATCTTGTAAACAAATGCAATTGTTAGTCTGGACTGTCTGTGAGCTGAAAGTGCAATAAGTTCCGTTTGGTTATCATGAGCAAAAATAAACAATTAGAATAAGGTGGACATGTATTTTTATTGATTTTCTGTCCCCTTGGATTCAGGCTGAGTGCTAAAACTCAGATACACAGTAAGACAGCCTTTATTTTTCATTACAAACTGAGCTGCATATTTAATATCAGATTTTTAATACTGAAAATCAATGTAAACTGAAAGCCCTTTGTTTATAATATGAAGGCTAAAAGCAGAGATGTAATATAACAGTAGCGAGTGAGTTTGGGTGGTTTTGGAGCTGATCTCTGGCTGATGGACGGTCACAGGTGGATGAAATCACTCTGGATGGCGAAGCAGAGTCTGATGATGATCTGATGTGTGAATCATGTCACTGTTTTAACCCTTTGTTGGAATATGAAGGTCAAACAGCAGAGCAATAATATCAGGATTTTAGGTGATTTTCCGAGTCAGATTACTCACTAATGCTGACATTACAGCTCGATGACATCATGCTAGTTACGGGTGGGTCTGCTGGATGTTCTGATATGTGGATCATGTTTGTATCTTAAACTGTTCTTAAGTTATAGATTGTCAAGGCTGTATTGCTTCTTCTTTTTCCTCACCACTAAAAGCATTTCACATTGCAAACAGCAGAAAACCACTGAAAGTGCAATGGTTGTCGCTGTTGTCATAAATCTGACTGTGACCTCTGAGCTTAAGATACACTTCATCTCCTTTCTCCAGCTGCAGAGTGGCTCCACCAACGACGTACTCAAATGTTTCTTTTGGAAATTCACTCACGTCCAAAATTTTCTCTTCATTTTTAAACAAACATACAGCCAGCATGTGTGGACCCTTCTCACTAAGTACATTGAACCTGAAGTAATAGACTCCTCTGAATGGAGCAGTGAAAACACCTGCAGAAGGAGAAACAGATGGATCAGTACAGAGTCTCTACACCACCAGAGAGAAGAAACTGTGCATTTACCTGTAGTTTTACTAAAAGCGTTTCCAATATTTGTGATTTCTCTGTGGAAAACCAGTATGTTGTCAGTGCTGTGAGGCCCATGATGGCCTTTTAAGCCTGAAGCAAATGAGAATGCCACCTTTGGTCTGTCTGCAAACAGAAACATGGACAGTGTCAGAACAAATCTGATCTTTTTCCATACTAAAGGATGCACTATGTAAGTTTGGGGGACCTCTCTGGTGGAAATGTATAAGTGCACGTAATGTGTGGAAGAACATTTTGTAGCATGGCTCGTACTTCGGACCCCTTCCCTGAGTAGATGAACTGAAATAGAATTTAAGGAAAACTGTCAAAACTTCATGAAGGATGAAAACTTGTCTTCTGGGGATGTGAAGACTGTTGTCATCATATCTTCATCAGAATAATGTTGATTTTGAGATCATTTGAGACCTAAACGTTTTTGTGTGATGTCAGTATGTAAAGACGAATGACATCATGTGCAAAAACTTTGGTCCATTCATCTTGAAATTGACATACAATGTAAAGGGTTACAGGTATTTTCAAATTATGTCAAAAACTGAAAAAATTCTCTGTTTGGCTTCAGGCTCTCTGTGCATTTAACTGAGTTCTGAGCTGTGTTCCAAAGTACTGGTATTTTTCTGTGTTTGACTCTTGCCTGTTCTCTTGAATTTCGCTTGTCTACTTCCTTTGTGTCTGTCTTTTGACCCCTGCCTGTTATGTACTGTGAGTCTTGGATTGTCCTTAATAAAACGACTGCCAACAAAAACGTTTCGCAACATTGGCCTATGTGTATGTTTGTGGTTTATGTAGAAACATCATGTTGCTCAAGTATTTGTAAAATGATCCTCCAACCAAACATTTAAGTCTCACTTGCGTTCTCCTCTCTCTGTGCTTCCACACCCACTTCAGTAGAGACCACTCTCTCCTCCAAAGCTGTGAAACACACACAACAATGCATCAGATCATGGACCAAAAGCTAAAGCACCATTAAGAGTCATGATTAAAGTAAAGACTGTAATAAGTTTACAGTGTACATTTTAGCAGCAGAGTCAGACCCTCGCAGAGGCACCAGACAAGTATCCTGTCTTGCTTGATATGAATAAATAAGTTGAGTCACAAGAAAGATGCTAAAAAGCACCCATCATTCCAACAGTGTGCTTTCTTCAAGCTGATCTGAAATCCTGCTTCTGGTGACATTTTCAAAAACTGAGTGATGAAAAAAAAAAATTTCTCATCATTTTTAATGTCTTTCCTGCTGTTTCCTGCAAGACTGCTTCTGCATTCTGCGTTCAAGAGATCCTCAACAACAACTAACATCTCACATAAAAGGATTTCTGGAGATTCATTAAAGTTATTTTCTATTTACTTTTTCTACAGTTTATTCTTACAGGAGTAAAAGCACATTTGTATTTTTATGTCATTGAGTCAAAGTCAAATACAAAACTTTGAACAACCAAGTGATGGTGTAAATGAAAAAGATCTGAACCCAGTTTTGCCTGCTCACAGAAATTAAACAGAAACTTTTGCTTATTTATTAATTTGTTCAAACAGCCTCTCTGGCCAAAGCTAATCACCCAGCAGTGAATTCAATTCAGCACTTTCTTTTTTCCTAATTCACCTGGGTCAACTCCACCAGTTGTTTATGACTTTGACATAAAAATAACAGAAACAATGTTAAAGTGAAAACATCTTGAATGGATTATTATATTATTATAAACAGCATGAAACAAAGTGGAACGTAACTGAAATTTTCCAACAAATTTCATTATATTTTGCTAATTTGTGGAATTGTTCGGCTTTCATTGATGTTCATGCAGAGTTTCTGTCAGACTTTTTCAGTTCAGATCATTTGACTTACCTGCATTTTGTTTCTGCAGCTCTTCAATCTGGCTTTGCAGTTTCACCTTCTGCTCCACCACCATGTCCCGCAGCTCTCTCAGCTCGGTCCACACATCGGGCTCTGATCTTTCCACACGACTCTTGTCCAGAAGCTGCATTGGCCCCACTACGAGCTGGTCATCAGGTCTCTGGAGCTGAACACAAGACAAGAACAAAAAAAGGAAGACCACACTGACCCTCATCCTGAGATATCCACAGTATAAAGTGGAACGGTTCAGCTGAAAATGGGGTGTTTGTAACAGGCGATAAACATCTGGTTCTTATAAAGTGGAGCATACAGAGATGTGCCAAACACACACACACACACACACACATGCACACACTTCAAGAACAGAAAATGCCAAAGTAGACTGCACAAGCTCAATTCTGGTTTCATAATGGGGACAGCTGATCAAATACTAATCATACTTTATGAAGGATACACATATATTAGCTACAAGTTAAAAGAGATGAATTTAGCATTGTACATGTTAGGTATATGCTATGTAATGCCAATATATTATAGTGCAAATAGGCAAATTCTCTTTTACTTTTATGGCACTTCAACTGGCAGCCAGAACTGCCTGGCCCAGTTCTAACTCCAACTCAAAACACAGGGAGGGGGTAATGTGGAGGACACAACATACCAAGGAGGGTAGACACCACTAGTTACACTGTTTAAAACAAGCAACACAACTACACTAATAACAGCAACAACATTAAAAAACAGCAACATTAATGAATGTCCTTCTTACCTCGAATGTGCTCACCTAAGTTCCTCATGGCAGGGTGGCCTGTGGTGGACACCACAGTATGCTTCTGCACTGTCTATGCTAAGGATTGACGGCTTTGGATTTAAGCATCATTTGAGCCCTTGGTACCAAAACCGGAGTTTAATTTGAGCCAACAGATTCAGGAGCTGGTCATATGCATCCCATGGAAATATCCCATGGATACATCATTGGAAAAGGGGAATTTTCCTTATGTCAGGTGCCTGTTTACAGATATAGCTGTGCCTAAGGTCAGCAGTAGGGATTTTCCAAACTAATTGCCACATATACTACCTCCAATATATGCCACTCAAGGTATATACGTCTATGTCTTAGGGGCTGAACCTTAGAGAGCAGCTGATGGCTAACTGAACATCTTCCATGATTGGCTGGTTTGTATTCTGCTGTTGTAATGACAACATCAGCACACACACACCATCATCAACACACACGTTATCTAAGCTGCTTATCCTTCTGGGTTGCGGAGGGTGCTGGAGCCTAGCCCAGCGATCATTGGGTGGAAGGCAGGAAACACCCTGGCCAGGTCGCCAGTCCATCGCAGGGACACACAGATAAATACAATCACACCTATGGTGGATTTTAGGGTGGACTACCTGGACTGTGGGAGGAAACCAGAGCACCTGGAGGAAACAGGGAGAACATGCAAACTCCACACAAGAACTAACCTAATTAACTGGCCAGGGAATCAAACCCAGGCCCTTTTTGCTGTGGGCTGGGAGCGCTTACCCACTGCACCACCAAGGCCCATGACAATGTCAAATTGCTGCAAATTAAAGACAACCTTAAATTTTATTCAACTTAATTTCCGTCTGTGGTGTTCTTCATAATTGAACAAGATCCTGCTTGTTTTAGACAGAAGATCAATAATTATTTTCCTATCACAGAGTCTCTCAGTTCTTTTATAAAGAGTAACAGGTGCAAATAGGAGCTGTCCTTGAGAGAAAAAAATACACTCAATGAATAAAACATGGGAAATTATCACCTGATGCACATTTGAAATACAGGTAAGGTTTCTTGTTAATTATGACCATTATTGCATTTGACACTTTTAGCAGCAATGTAATAAACCCTCACACTCAAACAAAAACAATCAAATCAAACCAAACATTCAATGTTATTATTAAAATATTAGATATTTCCATAGTTGTTATCTATGTTATCTTGATTTCAGTCTTGTAACTATAATGATGAAAAGCATTGTGCTAAAGAATATATCTTTTTTTCTAAATAATAAATTAAACCAAAGATATTGCTTGTATTTGGCTTATTTACACTTATTTACGCTTTATTACTTACTTTAGTGTATAAATATGTGGTGGTCAACAAAATTATCGTTATTTTAGATGCCTACCACAGCATACTGGAGCTGAAATTAAATTATGAATGTGAGCTTTAGTTTGAGGGTATTTACACACAAATTGCCTGAACATTTAAGAATTACAAACATCTTTGTACATAGTTTCCCCGTTTTTAGGGGTTTCAAATATAACTGGACAAACTCAGGGTGAAATTAATTTATCATTTTCAGTACTTGGTTGCAAATCCTGCCTAAAGTCTGGAAGCCATAGACATCACCAGATGTTAGGATTCGTCCCTGGTGATGCTCTGCCAGGCCGTTACTGCAGCTGTCTTCTGTTCCTGCTTGTTCTTGAAGCGTGTTACCTTCAGTTTGGCTTCAGGCAGTGAAAATGTAGGCTTGATTGGATTGTGGGCAGGTGATGGACTTGGTCAAGGCAGAACATTTCACTTCTTTGCCTTAAAAATCTGACTGGTCCCTTGAGCGCTCCTCTCTTCTAACTCACTGCCTTCAAGCATGTTATTGATTGATATATAAATTCGTCACCTTCTGGCAAAAAATCACTGTTTCAAATGATGAATATGAATCACATTCATTAAGAAGATTGGAAGAGTTTTTAACTTTGGTTTCAGCTGCCAGCAATGAGAATTTTGAAGAAGACCCCCACTTCCCCAGCAGCAGATCAGGGACATTATGTTCAGATGAAGTCATTTATTTTTTAAGTTATAAAAGTTTATAAGCTGAGAGTTTTCAGGGCTGCTGCTAGGGCTGGATTATATCAATTTAGGTAATAATACTAGAAATTTGTGCGTTTGTGATACTCATAAATAGAACTTTTTGGAAAGAAAGGAAAATGCAAAGTGCAATATTTAGTAAGTTTTCACATTTTCTCATTTAATTTTTTGGAATGGTGGGTGCAAAAGGTCACAGTGGGCAACTGTCAAGGTTTGTAGCCAATGCAATCAGCTATTAATTCACTTTCCTGTAAAATATCAGTAGCACTGAAGGCATGAGTGCCAGGAAGTGGCAAAATATTGAAATTATATTGATCGTTATTGCTCATGAACTGCCTTCTCCCATGTGAGTGGACGGAAGAATTCTCATCATCAGGTACATGAAGAAAAGTTCTGGGGTAGCACCCAGGGTGGACAGTCTGATTTAAGGGATGACCAGTGCCACTCTGTCCAGCCCTCAAACAGTTGAGCACTTGTGGGACATTTCTGACTGCCATGTTAGACAACTTTCTCCATCATGTTGCAGTTCCAGAGAGTCTTGTAGAATCTGTCAAGGCACATGAAAGCTCTTCTGGCAGATCATGGTAACTCAACACCTAAATCACATTTTGTCATTTAACTTGTCACCTCTGCCTTGTAGAGATTGCATTGCTGCAGAAGTGGTTTCACTGTTGTTTCCATGCTTATACTACTGCATGAAAGGAAAAATCAAAATTGTCGTCTTATATTTCTTTATCCAAAAAGATAAAACCTAAGTTCAATTTTTTTTCTGTAATCTTTTATTTACAGATTCATTGTAAATGTAATATAGATGCACGCAAATTGAATACAGTAAAATTTTACCATAATGTGCTAGTATTTGTTGTGTATACGTCATAGTCAAAAATAAAATTGTACACCACCACTATGGATTTGAAATGAAGCAGTCAAGTGACAGAAGTGTAAACTTTCAGCTATAAATTCAAGGGATTTAACAAAATATTACCTTACCTATTTAGGAATTACAGCCATACATAGTTTTACATAGTCGCTCATTTTCAAATTCAAGGATTATTATTAATAATTGTATGCAAATCTTTTGCAGTCAATGACTGCCTGAGGTCTGGAACCCGTCAACCAAATGCTGTTTCCTCTCTTGAGATGTTTTGCCAGGCCTTGGGTTACTTTCGCATAATGTTTTGGATCATTATTCATCTGTGCTGTGAAGTGCCGTCCTGTCAGTTTTGCAAATTTTTCTGAATCTGAGCAGAAATTGCAGCTCTATTCACTTCAGAATTCATCCTGCTATTTCTATTAGTAGTCACATCATCAATAAACACCAGTGACCCAGTTCCACTGGCAGCCATGCATGCCCGTGTCATAATACTACCTCCACCATGTTCGACAGATGGTGTGGAATGCTTCAGATCATGAACTCTTCCTTTCCTTCTCCATACTCTTCTCTTCCAGGTCACACTTGGCCATGAAACTGCTTATCAGCCAACTGTCTGATTACCCTCCTGTTAAAACGGAGGGTTTATGTAAAAAAGTGGCTGTAATTCCCAAACAATTAATACAATTTAAATCCATTAAAGTAAAGCTGAAAGTCTGCACTTCAATCACATGTTGACTGCTTCATTTCAAATCCACTGTGGTGGTGTACAAGGGCAAAATTACAAAGATGTGCCACTGTCCAAATACTTATGGACCTGATTTCACTAATTATGTTTATATGGATGAATATAGTTTCTCTCACTTATTTTGTATTCAAATTGAAAAATACATCTGGTTCAAATTAAATGAATTAAATGTATTAAATGTAGTTGCGTGAATTTACCAGGCTGTTTCAGCAAAAACTCAAATAAAATAAAATACAAAAAACATTTTCTGGCATATCTAAGACTTCATATTTTATCCCCCTGCCCATATGTATAGTAAAACATTGATTCTAGATCATATATCCTAAAAGAAATAAAGTGTAGTTCTTTTGAATACATTTCAGAATGAAGCACAGTGTACTTGCAGCATGATATATGTTTATTTCTTGTTTTTTTGCATGGGAGGTTTTAGACAAATGCTGCAAACTGATTGCTCTTTTCCAGTGATTAAAGCACTTCACATGGGAAACAGCAGAAAGCCGGTGAAAGTGGTAAGGTTGTCAGCACTGTCATAAATTTGACAGGTAGCGCGGAGCTTAAGATACACAAGATCTCCTTTCTGCAGCAGCAGAGTGGCACCACCGACAGAGTATTCATGCTGCCCCCCTGGATATTCAGCTGCAGTTATGATTCGCTCTTGATTTTTATACAAGTCTATAGTCATCCAGTATGAGTTGCTACCAAGTACATTAAACCTGAAGTAATAGACTCCTCTGAGTGGAGCAGTGAAAACACCTGCAGAAGGAGAAACAGATGGATCAGTACAGAGTCTCTACACCACCAGAGAGAAGAACCAAACCAGACATCAGACACTGTCTCTGTACTGACTGTTCATTTACCTGTGATTGGACTGTATGCGTTTCCAATGTTTGTGATTTCTTTGCGGAAAACCAGTATGGTGTCGACACCTAGAGGCCCGAGGTAGCCATTTAAGCCTGAACCAAATAAGAACGCCACCTTCCGAACCTCTGTAAACATAAACATGCCATAAACAGGCTAACCAAAATGTTATCTTTTTCTGTATTTAAAGCAAGTTTTGGTGATTTGGAGATCTCTCTTGTGGAAACATAATTGCATGCAATGTGCGGAAGAACGTTCTGTAACATGGGTTTCGCCTTGAAACCCATGTTATGAAAGAGAATTCAAAGAGGCCTCTAAATTTGGTGAAGGTTGTATCGTGTGAGGATGTGAGTAAATTATCTTCATTAGTATAACGTCAATTCAGCATTTGAGGCCTAAACATCGAGCCGGACCTTCTTTTTGAGTGTGACGTTAACATGTAAAGACGTATGATGTGATCCGATAAACTCCCAACCCGACCCCAGTTTTAAATGATTATTTGAGGCTTTACAGGGAGACTCGCAGCAGCGCACTCTCACCATATTTTAGCCCGTTTTCAGTTTTCTGACTCAGTTATTGTACTTCTTTTAATTTCAACATAAAGAAAATCTCACATTGCAGCTGTTTTGGTGTGTTGAATTGTTGGCTATCACAGAATCTCCCCCATTTGGACCTGCCCAGTCTGAAATAACTTTTTCCAGCTCCCTGAATCAACCTCTCCATCATTACACACACCTGCAAATAGTTTATGGACATATATACCTCTTTGTTTGGCCTTAGGCTTTGTGAGGTCTCTTCATTTTATGGTTTAAGGTGGAACAGGGAATTTAGCTAGCTAGCTACTGAGACATCAGCATAGTACTAGCAATGTTTTATACTTGCTATGAAGAAACGGGCCATAATAATGCAATGATTATTGTAATTTTCTAACAGAAAACACATTTGTGGGTTTCTTTGGTCGCTTGTGCTCCATCTCGCTAGTTCACTCTGTTTGGAGAGTGACTCTGGAAAACTTCAGTTTTAACACTTCGCCCTACCCCTCTATCTCAACAAAAATCAGGACACCCTACCCCTAGAAGTGAACACGTAAAATGGAGGGGTAGGGCTAAGTGGTAACGGTGAGGGGTGAAATGGGATTGGGCCTAAGACTCCCATATATGTACAGGTTACCTGTATGTTTGTGAAGTGCCCGTTTCTCTACTGAGCTCCAGGCCGTGTTACTTTGTGTTGGTATTTCCACTGTTTTGACCTTTGCCTTGTCTTTCTGGTTTTCCAATATAGATCTGCCTCTTATGGATCTGCCTCTTTTTCTTATTGTGAGTGTTGGACTGCCCCAAATGAAACCAGTTCACTCCTGCAAACAACCTACATGATCCTCATGTTACACCTGGCCACAAACCCATTTTGTTAGATTGGCATATGTGTATTTTTGAGGTTTATGCAGAAATATCTCATAAAGCTTTCTAATAAAGGATTTGAAAAATGAATTTTCTTTTCAACATGTAAGTCTTACTTGCATTCCCCTCTCTCAGTGCTTCCAGGCTCCACTTCAAAGCTGTGAAACACACACAACAAATAAACAAGTAAAAAAAGTATGAGCAAACCTCAAATGTCAAATGTTCATGTTTTATTTATTTTTTTTATTTTTTTTACTTTAACATATTGGGAAACATACATAAAGGTATTAAATGAGCCAATGTATTTGTCTTCTTCTTCTTCTTCTTATTATTATTATTATTATAGTTCTTATTAACTATCTATTCATTAAAGTGTGTTCTCTTTGAAGATTTTGTTCACAAATTATATATATGGAATTGATGAATATGCATTAAAAATATTTTCTTTAAAAAAAGTATTTTTACGCTGTACTTGTATCAAATTAAAATCTATTCTGGGTTTAATCATTCTTTATTTATTAGTATTTTTCGTAACATTTTCTATGAATGTCACCTTTGTAAGCACCTATAAACACATTCATAACATGTTATAATGCATTCATAAGACATTATAAACATAGCTATAAATATTTATAAAAATGTATTATATGTTATAGCCATGTTTATTATGCATTATGAATTGTTAACATAATACATTATAAGTACTGATCATAACAAATTATAAGAGCTCATAAGTCGTATTTGTCCGCTCTAAGTAAAGTGAAGCGTACTGTACTAAAGCCTCCTCCAGTGTTAAGAGTGAGGCTTCAAGTTGAAGTATTTACTGAAGGATTTACTGAAACACTAAAACATTCACAATAAAGCTCATTACAGGCTTCAAATGTCAGAGTTTAAACTAGTGCTGCCCTCAGTGTTTTACCCAATGTGGGAAAGGTAATGTTCACCACCGTTAGCTTGGTATTTGTCCTTACGCTCTCCAAGTTGGGACTGACTTTGGCACTGACAGTATAGCATGTTATTAACACTGTTTATAAAGCATTATATTAACAATTCATAATGTATAATAAACATGGCTATAGAGTGTAATTCATTTTTATAAATGTTTATAATCATGTTTATAATGCCGTATGAATGCATTATAACATGTTATGAATGTGTTTATAGATGCTTACAAATGTGACATTCATAGAAAATTTTACCATCCCAGCTTGGAGAGCATAAAGTAAAGACAAATACCAAGCTAACGGTGGTGTACATTACCTTTCCCACATTGGGTAAAACACTGATGGCAGCTCTAGTTTAAACTCTGACATTTGAAGCCTGTAATGTGCTTTACTGTGTGTTTTAGTGTTTCAGTAAATCCTTCAGTAAATACTTCAACTTGAAGCCTCACTCTGAACACTGGAGGAGGCTTTAGTACAGTATGCTTCACTTTACTTAGAGCGGACAAATACAACTTATGAGCTCTTATAATTTGTTATGATCAGTACTTATAATGTATTATGTTAACAATTCATAATGCATAATAAACATGGCTATAACGTATAATACATTTTTATAAATATTTATAGCTATGTTTATAATGTCTTATGAATGCATTATAACATGTTATGAATGTGTTTATAGGTGCTTACAAAGGTGACATTCATAAAAAATGTTACCGTATTTTTTTAAGAACATGATGGGGCAAATCTAAAAGAAATTGTTGCTGATTTATTAATTATAATTATAATTATAACTAAATATAATTATTAATTATATTTTTGTTAGTTTTCTAATAACCTGGCAGCAGTATTAATTAATTCATTTTCCTACCTGAATTCACTTGGGACACCTCCACCAGTCTGTTGTTTATGGCTTTAACATAAAAATATCAGAAACAGTATTAAAGTGAAAACATCTTAAACAAATCAAATGTATAGGAATGATTATGTCACTAAAACACTATAAACAGCATGAAACAATGCAGAACAATGTGAAACAATATGCAACATTAAAAATGGGCTGAACTTAATTGTGGAGTTGTTTGTTTCAGGTTGTTTGGGTTCAGATCATTTGATTTACCTGCGTTTTGTTTCCGCAGCTCTTCAATCTGGCTTTGGCTGGACTGCAGCTGCTCTCTCAGCTGGGTGACCATGTCCTTCAGCTCTCTCAGCTCGGTGAACTCATCATCATAGTGGTGGGTTTTTTCTAGTGCTGATCTTTCCATGTTACCCTTGTTCAGAAGCTGCACGTCCCTCACTGTGAGCTGGTCATCAGCTCTCTGGAGCTGAACACAAGACAAGAAGAGCCAAAGCAGAACCACACTGACCCTCATCCTGAGATAATTACAGTACGGAGAGTGGAAAGGTTCAGTAGAATATGGGGTGTATGTAAGAGGCAATCAGCATCTGGTTCTTATATAGAGGCTCATGTGCCACACACACACACACACACACACCTCAAGAGTAGAAAATGCAGAAGTAGATTGCACAAGCTCAGTTCTGAGTT